TTTGATTTTACCCAGGCCACGGGATTCCAGTCAGTGGGGCTGTTGTAGGGCCTGTCACTGTTAGCAGGCGGGAGTCTGCATTCAACCCTCATGCTGCTCTCCAGGGGTGTGTATGGCCACGTCCCCTGGGAGGAGCGTCTCTGCCCACCCGTAGCTCACAGCACTTGGGAAAAGCTCAACCTGATTTCCCACGGAGTCTGGACGGTGGTGTCTCAGCATTTCCGCTGTATGCTGCGGCCTCGTGCCCCTCACCTCGAGCTCTCCTCCAGGCGATACTAGGGTGTGGTGATGTCAGCTCCATCCCCCGGACGCCAGGCTGGAGGCTCAGGGAAGCTGAGGACCCTCCCCGGGCCCATGCAGGAAGTGAGGGGCAGGGCGTTCCTGGGCCCTGGCACCTTAGGAGAGCCTCCTGCTCAGGGGCTCGTGGCGGAGTGAGGTGCGTGCCGGCCGTGCTCTGCAGACGAGGGTTCAGACCGAGCAGGCAAAGCTTGGGGGCATAGACCACGGGCTGTGAGTGACACTGCTCCCGTTCTCCAGTTGAGGACAGTGGAGCTCACAGAATCCGTGGCACGCCTGGGCCCTCACAGCAGGCACCGGCGCTGGGGCCGGAACCTGAGCCCGAGCCCAGGCTCTCTGCAGGCGCCCCGGAAGCTGAGGAGGGGCTGGAGCCTCTGGGAGGAGGCGTTGGGGCTGCCGGGCTTGGCGCGAGGCCAGCGCCCCCTGGCTCCCACCACCAGGCACTGCTCACTTCCTCCCGCCCACTCCAGGAAGGGGAGGTGATAATTAGCACCTTGGACGCGTTGCGCTTGTCAACAGATTTTTTAGAGCTTTTATTTTATATTCATCTATCCATGTATTTATTTATTTAAAGGCCTCTGCTAGCTTCTGTGTCAGGGCTGCGTGTAGGAAGAATTTGGCTTGGGAAGGAGAACCCTTCCCAAGGGCTAGTGCAGCCTCGCCATCCCATCTGCAGGACCTGGACAAGCTGCCCCTTTAGATGAGGGTGGCCATGACCACCCTGGAGGGGACTGAGGAAATGGGAGAAAGGAAGTAGCACCCAGCCTCAGCCCGTGTTCTTCCAGGGGTGGCGAGTGCCGTGGCTGTTGGCCCCGTTGTCACCAACCTCGTGCCGTGTTCCTCCAGGGGTGGCGGGTGCCGTGGCTGTTGGCCCCGTTGTCACCAACCTCGTGCTGTGTTCCTCCAGAGGTGGCCGGTGCTGTGGCTGTTGGCCCCGTTGTCACCAACCTCATGCCGTGTTCCTCCAGGGGTGGCCGGTGCCGTGGCTCTTGGCCCCGTTGTCACCAACCTCATGCCATGTTCCTCCAGGGGTGGCTGGTGCTGTGGCTGTTGACCCCGTTGTCACCAGCCTCATGCCGCATCCCACCAGGGGTGGCTGGTGCCATGGGTGTGGGTCCCATGTCACCAGCCTCATGCCACATCCCTCCAGAGGTGCCTGGTGCCATGTATTTTGGCCCCCTTGTCACCAGCCTTGTGCTGCGTCCCTCCAGGGGTGGGGGGGTGCCGTGGCTGTTGACTGCATTGTCACCAGCCCCATGCCACGTCCTTCCAGGGGTGGCCATTGCCATGGCTGTGGGTCCCATGTCACCAGCCTCGTGCCACATCCCTACAGGGGAGTGCACCCCAGATTCAGCCTGGATGCCCACTCCCACACATTGTACCCAGATGTCATGCCTAGGATGACACCTAGGCAAGACCCTGTGCCCTCAGAGTCCGGGACCCAGCAAAGCTGTCCGCATTGCCTGAGGGTGCTGATGAGCAGAGGTGCCAAGCTGGCTGGGACCCTGTACTTAGTGGGGCCTTTCCCAGACCCGGGAGGGGACGCTGATTGTGTCCTTGACAGAGGACTAGGGAGACTCAGTCCAGGGTCTGTGGAGATGGGGGTGGGGACAGGCAAGGGAGGGGGCCTGTGGTTGAGTCCCAGGCTCTGGTGTGAGCTGAGTGACCTCATCCTGAAAGTCCTGTCGCAGCAGGGGCTCCTATCGAGGCCCACACACTGTGCCTCCTGCCCCAATGCCACAGAAGGTCCTGAGGCATCGGGCCTGGCACAGCCCCGCCTCTGTCAGATCTCCTCTCCAGACACATGGCCAAGACCAGTGTGTGGGTGAGTCAGCTGGAAGAGCACCTATCTGGGAAGAGAGGGTGGTCCTAAGATTTGTGTCAGGGGGTGTGTGTGGGCATAGCATGGGTGAAGCTGGATCTGGGCCAGGGCTGAGGCCATCATGGGTCTGCTCTTGAGCGCCACAGGAGGCCACAGCTGGGCCAGGTTTGCTGAGTTGCACCTTCGCCACAGAGTGGCTTAGGCAGCTGTGAACTTTCTGAGTGTCCCCAATGGTGGGTGGAGGGTCATAATGGTGCCCAGGGGCATGAGGAGCAAGTAAAGTAGCAGTGGCCGACATGGCATCGGTGGGCCTGGCACACGTGGCACCATTTGTGGTCAGCTGTCCCCACGGTTGTAGCCTTGTCCTTGTGCTCACCCAACCTTGCTGTGTGTCTGAGAGCAAGTGCTGCTGCAGACCCCCATGGGCTCGCCCCTGATTAATTGAGCACAGCTCCAGCCCCCTCGCTGTCAGACCCCCATGGGCTTGCTCCTGATTGTGCAAGGCTAGCCCCCTCACTATGCCTCAGTGTCGTTGGCTGTTGTGGGGGCCCGGGCTCCACCCTGCAAGGCTTTTGGGAAGATCAGGGACACAGCTGAGTGGAGCAGGTGCTGGTGGTGAGGTCCGGCCTGACCAGGCCGCTGCCCCCATCCTCTGCTCTGCCCATTCTCAGTGCCTTTTTCCTCTCACACACATGATATCACATGGCCACACTTCCCACAACCATGTTACACGCGCACAACCACACGCACCCTCCTAAGGTGAGGGCAGGCCTGCTGGCATGGGCAGGGCAGGTGGGGGGCGCTTGTGGTGGCCTCCTGGTGGAAGGGAGGAAGGGCTGTGGCACGGGATGGCCACTGTCGCCGCCTCTTCAGTTCAGTAGGGATGTGGGCAGCTGGAGGTGGTGGCTGCAGCAGGGACCCTTCCTGCCTCCTGCCTGCCCTGCTCTCTGCTGGGTACTCCCAGGCCCCTACACCCCAACTTGGGGCCTGACACGGAGGACTGATGGCACTGAGGACTGATGTCTGCAGTCTTTCCCACTTAACTGGTACCTGGGAGGCCTGGATTGAGGCCCAGTGATGGGCTCACAGCCACAGAAGGCCTCCACCTAGGACCCCGATAGTCCCCTCAGAGAGCAGATGGGGATAAGTGAAGGGAAGAACACCACTTTATTGAATTTTAATATGTAGCAAATAAATTAAGAAATGAAAACAAATTTCAAAAATCTCTAGGGCTTGCTCCCCGAGGCTGTCATGGGAGGGCGGGTTCCTGTGGGTTTCTGCAGGTTCATGTGGATTCCCATGGGTTCCTGCAGGTTCCCATGGGATCCTGTGGGTCCATGTGGGTTCCTGTGGGTTCATGTCGGTTCCTGCGGGTTCCTGTGGGTTCCTGCGGTTCCCATGGGTTCCTGTGGGGTCATGCAGGTTCCTGTGGGGTCATACAGGTTCATGCGGGTTCCTGTGGGTTCCCGTGGGTTCATGCGGGTTCCTGTGGGTTCATGCAGGTTCCCGTGGGTTCATGCGGGTTCCTGTGGGTTCATGCAGGTTCCCGTGGGTTCCCATGGGTTCATGTGGGTTCCCGCGGCTTCATGCAGGTTCCTGTGGGTTTCCGTGGGTTCATGTGGGTTCCCGTGGGTTCATGTGGGTTCCTGCAGGTTCCCGTGGGTTCATGCGGGTTTCCGTGGGTTCATGCAGGTTCCCGTGGGTTCCCATGGGTTCATGTGGGTTCCCGCGGCTTCATGCAGGTTCCTGTGGGTTTCCGTGGGTTCATGTGGGTTCCCGTGGGTTCATGTGGGTTCCTGCAGGTTCCCGTGGGTTCATGCGGGTTCCCGTGGGTTCATGTGGGTTCCCGTGGGTTCATGCGGGTTCCCGTGGGTTCATGCAGGTTCCCGTGGGTTCCCATGGGTTCATGTGGGTTCCCGCGGCTTCATGCAGGTTCCTGTGGGTTTCCGTGGGTTCATGTGGGTTCCCGTGGGTTCCTGCAGGTTCCCGTGGGTTCATGCGGGTTCCCTTGGGTTCCTGTGGGTTCATGCGGGTTCCCGTGGATTCCCGTGCGTTCATGTGGGTTCCGGTGGATTCCCGTGGATTCATGAGGGTTCCCATGGGTTCATGCGGGTTCTCGTGGGTTCCCACGGGTTCATTGGGTTCCCGTGGGTTCATGTGGGTTCCCGCAGGTGCGTCTGTGCCCTGCCTGCAGTCCCACCTCATCTCCGAGCTCCAGCCTGACCCTGGCTCTAACTGGCTTCTTGATGGAGCCTTCAGTGGGCTCATGGCTTCCAAAATAAGGAGACAGAATTTGTATTTCTGTGCTTAGGAGTATTTTTCTGGGGGTTCACAAAGGGGCCTGTGACCCCCAAAAGCTGGGAACACAAGGTAGACTGTGCTTTCTGGGGTCAGGGCCACGTTTTGCTCTTGTGTCCTCCGTCTGGCCAAGGACAGGGTGGCCCTGGCTTGGCCTGGGGGCCCGAGGGCTCACAAGTTCTCCTTGCGGACTGGCCTGGGATGGGCAGAGAGCAGGGCATGTGCTTAGAGGCAGGGACTGGAGTCCACTCGCTTGTGACCCTGGCCCACTGCTCACAGCAGCCCCAGCTCCCCTCCTGCCCCTACAGTGTGCTTGGTGTGGCCGGGAACTCTGAGAACCCCTCAACTCCCTGAGGCAAGGGAGCCCCAGGCCTAGCATCTGGGGCCTCATTTCATCTTGAGACAGAACAGGGTGGCCTGCTTGGAGCCACGGGAAGACTTGGGCCTGGGGTGTGATGGTAATGGGGGTGTCAGTGGTAATGGGGTTGTCAGTAGTGGTAGTGGGGCTGTCTGGTGGTATTGCAGGGTGTCAGTGGCAGTAATGGGGGTGTCAGTGCTAACCAGGTCTGTCTGTCATCAGCAGAGTCCCCAGGCCCCGTTTGCCGAGCTGGCTGATGATGAGAAGATCTTTAATGGGAGTGACAACGTATGGCAGGGCCAGGAGCAGGCACTGCTCCCGGACATCACTGAGGAGGACCTGGAGGCTGTCCAGCTGCGGGAGGAGGCCATCCTGCAGATGGAGGTGAGGCCAGCGCGGGCACGCATGCTCGCTCTCCACACTCCACTCGCGGAGGCTGGGGACCTGGGGAGCCCAGGTGCCAGCCCTGCTGCACCATTGTTTGCCCTTGGCCTGTAGGGGCTGGAACTAGGCCCCCATGGCCTTGACCATGCTGACCACCTCTCTCTGGCCCATGTATCCAGTCAGGGAGAGATGGGAATCTGGGAGACCCATCCTTATGCCCTCCTTCCTGGGCTCCGCTTAATAGGGCATGGCCCTCTGGCGAGGGGCCGGGGCCTGTGCTGGGGTAGCCTCTCAGTCGCTGTGGCCGTTTCCTTTGCTGTGTGGTTAGACTTCCAGGGGCTGTTTAGCTCCAGTGAAGATGACTTGGTGCTTAATGCAGTTCCCAGTAGATTTTTTTTGAAAGGTAGAATAAATTGCTAAGAGCTGAACCTGCAATTTGGTGGTGCTACCAGCAGGGGGTGGGGTGAGCTGTTGGGGTGCAACTGTGGAGTGTGGGCACGGGGTGCTGCTTATTCTTCCTTTCTTTAACGTTTACCTGTGTCTAATGCCGGCTGCCAAACGTGTCTCTAGACCATGGGTAATTTTGAAACAGTTGCTAAAACAAAGTATCCCAAGAGGCGCATGAGTCCAGGCAGGTGTGTATGTGTGTGTGAGTCCGTGTGTGTGTGCAAGTGTGTGAATGCATGTGTGAGTGCATGTGTGTGCATGAGTGCATGTGGGCATATGAGTGCATGTGCATGTGTGTGCATGTGTGTGTTAGTGCATGTTTGGGCAGGTGTGAATGCATGTGTGAATGCATGCGTGAGTGCATGTGTGAGTGCATGCATGTATGTGCATGTGTGCATGCATGTGTGAGTTTCTTCTCCCTTGACTAGTGAGTGCACTTAGAACACAGGAGAAAGGCAGCGTGGTGGGGACATGCTCTGTTGGCAGTGGAATCAGAACCTCTGTCTGTGACCCTGAACGTCCTTCCCCTTTTCTGCCCCCCTCATCTGCAGAAGGTGCTGGGGCGTGCCCACTCTGAAGCTCCCAGGGACTGAGTTTACAGAACAAATGTCTGCTGTGAGCTGATTTTTTCAGAAAAGCAGAGGCCTGTCAGTAAGTCAGCTAAGTCACTGGCTTAGGACCTGTGGCCGGCTCCACTCCCCCAGGGAGCAGGCCTTGCACCCTGAAGGAAGGGGATATGCACAGTGCTGGGGCCCAGCCCACTTCTCCCTTATCCCTTCCTTCCCTGGCCCCCACCTCTGTGCCTCTGCTGTGGCACCCCTTATATTGGTCTGGTGGAGGAGTGCCCATTTCTTGAGACCTGCGTTCAGGGCCCCGCCACCTCCATGAGGTGTCCTCTCCTTCACCCTTTCCTGTCCTCGAGCTCCCCAAAGAGGAAGGCACCAGCTCTGGGCCTGTGGCTTCTCTCTGGGGCTGGATGAGCCCTTTGCTGTTGCTGACATTCTCCAGAGAACCACATAAAGCACGGAGGTTTCCATCCCTCTTTGCTGGCATGGTGAGGCCCACTGTTCCTAGAGAAGCAGAGAAACGGGAGCTCAGAAGCTCCTCCAGGAGTGCCAGCCTGAAGCCTTCGTGTCCAGAGAGGCAGACGGACTTGCTTCCTCTTTGCGCCAAAACTGAGATCCTCCTGGGAAGGTCCCGTCACAGCCCAGTGGGCAGCCAGGCTCAGCCATCCCTTGTGGGTCAGAGTGGCATGCGGAGAGGAGAGGCGCTGCTTGTTGATTGAGTCCGAGGAGTGGAGGCCGCTCACAGAAGCTCCTCCTGCCGAAGGCCCAAACCCTGACACAGGGCTTTGGGTGTGAGGTGGTGGGAGAGGGCAGCTCGCAGGGGAGGCAGGGCTCCTGCTCAGCAGAGCTGGCCCCCCTCCAGCCTCCTGGCAGCTAACTCGGCAGCATCCACGGAACGGGTCTTCAGATTCTGGTGTGGAGCCTTCACTGGAGGGGCTGGTTTCTCCCTGTCCGGCTGGGAGTTCTGTTCCCAGGGCCTTGTGAGGGCTGTTGCTGGTGCAGCCACCCCAGGACGGGGTTCAGAGGAGTGGAGGCTTGGGCCGGCTGCCCCACCTGCGGTCCTCTGTGTGAGGGCCTGTCCTTCTGGCATCCTAGCCCCAGGTTTCCTCTGGTGCTGTGTGGCGAGTGTGGGCCTAGTAGCGGCCTTTCCCGGTGCAAGGGCGCCCCATGTGGAGGCCACTGTGGTTGTCAGTGGAGAGATGGGGGGCCTGGGTCTGGGCGGGAGAGGGGCTGGGGGCTCTGAGCTGAGAGATGGGGAGCCTGGGTCTGGGCGGGAGAGGGGCTGGGGGCTCTGAGCTGAGAGATGGGGGGCCTGGGTCTGGGCAGAAGAGGGGCCGGGGCTCTGAACCGAGAGATGGGGGGCGTGGGTCTGGGCCGAAGAGGGGCCGGGGCTCTGAGCCGAGAGATGGAGGGGATGGGTCAGGGCACGAGTGGAGCTGGGGTTCTGAGCCGAAAGATAGAGGGGCCGGGTCAGGGTGGGAGAGGGGCTGGGGCTCTGGGCTGAACTAAATTCACTCAAGGTCCAGACCAGAGGACCTGGGCGGGTTGGTCTTTGCCTGTGGCCCTCAGGATTCCTCACAGATCAGCACTGTGCTGAGGACGAGTAGCAGGGGGACTAGAGGGGGACCGAATAGGCAGGCCCCATGGCCAGCCTGGCCCTTCCAGCCTCAGTTTCCTTGTCTGCAGCTGGGGGTGACTGAGAGGATGTGGAGCCTCATGCCAGCAAACAGCAGGTCCGGAACAGAAGGTGACGGGGTGGTTCTGGAAGGCACCTGCGCTGAGCACACATCACACCGCAGCCCTCCCTTTGGTCTCTGCAAATGGGAAAAACAAAACACGAATTGTCATTAGCCTTCAGAAGGCCCTCCCCCCGGGTCTGCCGTTGCTCTGTGACAGTGGCTCTGGTGTGATGATTGAGAGGCTGAGACGCAGTGGAGACCCCACGTCCCAGGTCCTGCCGGTTAGGTGGCTCTGGAGCCATCTTTGCAGCCTGCACAGGGCGGGGTTGGGCGGCTGGGTCTGTGGGACTGTATTGCGCACCTCAGCTGGCTGCAGCGCATTCCTCTGGAAGCCAGGGCTTCTCCTCCCTCATCTCCCCTCCCACATTCACTGGGGACTTTCGAATTTGCAAGATTGTATAGGTTTAGAAGTCTCCCAGGGAGACTCGAGGTTCGAGAGAGCCCCCTACATGGCCAGCCCTCAGGGACTTCCTAGGTGGATAGTCCTAGGTGTGAACATGTGGGGCCTCCGAGGCCCGGGCGGGGCAGTGTCAGCCAGTTCCCAGGCACTGCCCTCCTCCTTGTTCTGTTCTGTGGCTACTGCCAGGCAGGGTGTGGTTCGGGCGGTGTTGGGGGCCCCTGTCTGCTGGGACTGTGGGCCCCGCCCAGCATCCCTTTCATTTGTCCTCCTCAGCATTGTCCTTGGGACAAAACGCAGGCCCAACTGGGGACATGCTGTCCTGGCTTTGGGCCCGTGCCCACTCACTGGCTGGATGACCCTGAACCTTGATTGGTCTTGGTCTTTTCATCTGTGAAGTGGGCAGGTGGAGGGATGTCCTGTCCTCAGTGACTTGCCAGCTTGGAGAGCCCATGTGGCCACAGGCAGAGTGTGGTGGGCCCTGTGGGAGGTGATGGAATCTCAGAGGACCCTTGGGTGCCGTGCGGCTGGCTCAGGAGGCCCAGGAGTGACTGGGCAGGAGACAGTGGAGACCAGGCTAGCCTCGGGTCTGGGCAGTGAACTTGGCGCTGTGGCCCTCCCAGGCCTGGTGCAGTTGGATTCTGAGTGAGGGTGTCCTGCCCCTCCTGGGGAGGCTGGCGGGGCCACCAAGACCCACCCTGAGGACCCCTGCTGGCTTCTGTGTGCCCCTGGGCACCCACCTGGATCTGAGCATTGCTGCTTCCATGGTGTGCTTCCCTCAGGGAGGCCCACCCCACCGAAATCAACTGCCCTGTTTCCCTGCCCACTGCTTCTTCAGGGGTCTCTGTTAGGTCCCTGCCCCAACAGACGGTAAGCAGCCCTCTCCTGCCTGGCGTCAGTCCCATCCCCAGAGCCTGGAGTAGTGGGCTCTGTACAACTTGCTGGGACTTACAGAACAAGCATGTCAAACTGGCCATTGCCCCAGAGACAGTGACTGCCCCGCCCCCATGTGGCCACCCCTCCCCCACAATGACCATCCCTCCCCCATGAGTAACACATCCCTCCCCCATAATGACCCCCCTGCCCCATGAGTGACACCTCCCTCCACCACAATGACCAACCCCTCCCCCATGACACCTCCCTCTCCCACAATGACCACCCCCCAATGAGTGACACTTCCCTCCCCCATGACCACCCCCTCCCCCTAGTGACACCTACCTCCCCCACAGTGACCACCCCCTCCCCCATGAGTGACACCTCCCTTCCCCCACAATGACCACCCCTGCCCCATGAGTGATACCTCCCTCTTCCACAGTGACCACCCCCTCCTCCATGAGTGAAACCTCCCTCCCTTCACAATGACCACCCCTCCCCCATGAGTGACACCTCCCTCTCCCATGAGTGCACCTCCCTCTTCCACAGTGACTACACCTCCCCCATGACACCTCCCTCCCCCACAGTGACCACCCCCTACCCCATGAGTGACACCTCCCTCTTCCACAATGACCACTTCCTCTCCCATGAGTGACACCTCCCTCCCCCATGACAGTGACCTCCTCCTTCCTTCACAGTGACCACCCCCTTCCCCATGACAGTGACTACCCCCACTCCCATAGTGACCACCCCCTCTCTCATGAGTGACCACTTCCATTTCCCATGACAGTTACCGCCCCCTCCCCTGTGAGTGACCTCCCCCTCCCGTGAGTGACTGCCCCCTCCCCTGTGAGTGACCCCCCCTCCCATGACCGTGACCGCCCCTTCCCCATGAGTGACCTCCCCCTCCCATGATAGTAGGCTCCCCCTCCCTGATGATAGCATGCCTGTCCCCAGTGCTAGGCCTGTGCTGAGCCC